AGAAGTCAGATGTACAAATTAAGCAAAAGAAACCCTTTGAGTGACCTTGGGCAAGTTGCATGCCTTCAGCTTTGGAAAACCCCATCATAGGGTCCTCTTAGCATCACCATGTTAGAAATGACTTGAAAGCAAACAACAACAACCAACTTGGAGATATTTCTGGTTTTATATAGTCTTGTTTAGTGATTGATTCATCCTGTAAATTCATTCTGGATGTCAAAATAGTGTCAAGAGGAAGGCACATCCCTTACAGTTAATCCATTTTGCCTCTCATGCCCAGATTTCCTCATAATCGTATGTCAAAGCATCAGGTGTACAAATTAAGCAATGCTGACCTTACAATGACCCATCACAAAGCAAAGCATATCAAATGCAAGATACAAAAGTGGGGATAATCATGTGCTATGTCAAACAGCACTACTGCCTTTATGCTACGTGGGAGAGCATATTTTCTTAAAATGTGCCAAATTGTATTTATTCATTTACTTATTTACATATTTCATTTAGAAGCCACCTGTCTCCAGAGTTGGGATCTAAGTGACTATTTGTTCTGAGCCATAGACAGCAAGGAATAGAGTGTCTCCCACTAGGACCTTTGGTGTGTATTTGATGTCCTACTTTTTCCTGGACAACTTTGCTCGAGCTCCTGCTGACAGTAGCTTGTAAATCCACGCCCTGGGGAAGGATTAACCGCTTGATGCTAATTATAGACCAGGGAAGGGGTTCAGTGGCTTTGCTACTAAAAAGCCCCAACCACTTCACAGTGTGTTAGAAGAGCAGCATACTATGATGGGAAGGATAAGAGTAATGATACAACTGTAATGTATTGCTTCAACCTCTGGTCCTCATGACTGCATATTAGTAGGAACCCACTGTTATATTGTGAAGCATTATGCAGGAACATCCTGAAGATCAGGGGTCCTCAAACTAAGGCCTAGGGGCAGGATACGGCCCCCCAAGGTCATTTACCCGGCCCTCGCTCAGGGTCAACCTAAATCTGAAATGACTTGAAAGCACACAACAACAACAACAACAACAACAACCGTATCTCATCAGCCAAAAGCAGGCCCACACTTCCCATTGAAATACTAATAAGTTTATATTTGTTAAAATTGTTCTTCATTTTAATTATTGTATTGTTTTAAGTGTTTTTTGCACTACAAATAAGATATGTGCAGTGTGCATAGGAATTCATTCATTTTTTTTCAAATTATAATCCAGCCTTCCAACAGTTTGAGGGACTGTGACCTGGCCCTCTGTTTAAAAAGTTTGAGGATTTCTGTTGTCGATGGTGAACTACAACCCTTTAGATCAGTGGTTCTCAACCTGTGAGTCCCCGGATGTTTTGGTCTACAATTCCCAGAAATCCCAGCCAGTTTACCAGCTGTTAGGATTTCTGGGGCCAAAACATCTGGGGACCCATAAGTTGAGAACCGCTGATCTAGATACTTCTGAACTACATCTCCCAAGATGTTGACCATTGCCTGTATTGAAGGGGGTTGAAGTCCAACAACATCTGGAGAGCCTTACGTTACTGACCAAATTCTTGTTCAGATCTTCTCAGAGGCTCAATGAGTACCTTGGAACAAATGACCTTTTACCTCAGCTTCTCTTCTTCATATTCTCTTCTCTTCTACAAAGGACAATACCTCTGTAGTACTTGCAAAGGTTAATACAGTTGGCTGTCTGTATCTATAGATTCTGTATCCATGGACTTAATCATCATGGATTGATTTTTTTTTCAAAAAGGTTCCAAATAGCTAGCCTTGATTTTGCCATTTTATATAAGGAATACCATTGTATATAAGAGGAATTGAGCATCAGTGGATTTTGGTATCCATAGGGATTGAGGAGGTGTCCCAGGACCAAACCGCAGCAGAAATCAAGGGCCCACTGTAATCCTTTCTTAGTCTTTTGTTTGGTTCTTGCCCAAGTTCAAATCCTTTCTCTGATAATTAGCAATTTATTCAAGGCTAAGATTTATGGAGATCTATAATGTTCAATAGTACTATCAACTAGCACCATCTATACATTTTTGCCCAAATTCTGCTATGGGCTGCTAATGGAGGAGTATACCAGTGAAGAACACAATGTTCACAGTAAACACCCAGATTCCCTCTTTGGTATTTCCAGGCAGGGCTGGAAAATGTTCTTGGGCAGAAACCCAGGAGAGCTGTGTCGCTCAGTGAAAATGGCACATTACATTAAACTACATACAATATGTACAAAAGCTTCCCCCCCCCCTTTTTTTTTCTTGTCCTCAGGATGCCTTGCTGAAGAAACTGTCAACCTCTACAAGATTCTCTATTCTTGTGCAAGCGTGAAAAGGCCAACACATTTATTTAAAACATGTCCTAGATTGTGCCAAAACATAACATTTTTAGCAAAACCAAATGGACTTCTACAAACAAACAAAAACCTGGTTAGCTGTGAAAAATCTCTTAAAATGTGTAGAAAACGTTGTAGTCTTCCTGGGCTGGGATAACACTTTTTAACATTTTCATTGTTCTATACAATAACAATATAAGAAAATATTCATATCCCTACAATAAAGACTCAAGGGTGCAGCTGAGTCTCTTGTTACTTCCAAGTGAGTGTGCAGATATCCAATATGGATCAAGGTCATCATACACAAGTGTAGTAGGAAAAATATGTCAGTCAACGTGGTGATTTTCCTTCACTTCCTCCTCCTCTTCCTCCAGTCTCCAAATTGTAGGAGGTGAAGGTGAAAAAGAGCATGATTGGCAAAGTGCTTTGAATCTCACTTCCCTTTGTGCAGTAAGCTCTGGGACCTGAATATCTTTGTAAACAACAAATACCTTGTTTTACATTATGCAAGGGTTTAGTAACTCAGTCATTTTTTTAGCCTTCCCTATAGATACTGTCTACCTAGATCAGTGTTTCTCAACCTTCCTAATGTGGCAACCCCTTAATACAGTTCTTCCTGTTGTGGTGACCCCCAACCATAAAATTATTTTTGTTGCTACTTCATAACTGTCATTTTGCTACTGTTATGAATTGTAATGTAAATATCTGATATGCAGGATGTATTTTCATTCACTGGACCAAATTTGGCACAAATATCCGATATGCCCAAATTTGAATATTGGTGGGATTTGGGGGGGGGGGTGATTTTGTCATTTGGGAGTTGTAGTTCCTGGGATTTATAGTGAACCTACAATCAAAGAGCATTCTGAACTCCACCAACAATGGAATTGAACCAAACTCAACACACAGAACTCCCACAACCAACAGAAAATACTGGAAGAGTTTGATGGGATTGACCTTGAGTTTTGGAGTTGTAGTTCACCTACATTGAGAGAGAAGTGTGGACTCAAACAATGATAGATCTCGACCAGATAGATCTGGCATGAATACTCAATATACCCAAATGTAAACACTGGTAGAGATTGGGGAAAATAGGCCTTGACATTTGGGAGTTGTAGTTGCTGGGGTTTATAGTTCACCTACAATCAAAAAGCAATCTTAACCCCATCAATGATAGAGTTGGGCCAAACCTTTCACACAGAACCCCCATGCCTTGAAGGTACTCACTGGCATGAGCCTCCCTCCAGCCTCACACTCTCCCTCGCCCACACATGTGTACCACACTTCTATGTGCCAAGCACACCTGCTCTCCCCTCTCCACCTGGAGTTCTAGAAATAGCCCTCTCCTTGGCTGAGATGCCAGCTGAGAGGCCAGCCAATCACAGCCGAGGAGGGCTTTTGGTGGGAAGATTAGCCACCTGTTTCCAAAAAGGAAGAGAAGGACAGGTGGAGAGACCTTCAGCCTACTCTGCCAAAGGGGTTCCTAAGACCATCAGAAATATATGTTTTCTGATGATCTATGGTGACCCCTCTTATACCTGCTTCGCACCCCCCCCCCAGTGGTACCGACGCCCAGGTTGAGAAACACTGACCAAGATGAACCTTTGGTAAGACTCAGTAGAGAAGGTGACACCGTGTATCTCTAATAAGGCAGGAAGAAAAGCAGAAGAGCCTTTGATTGATTTCCAAACGAGCTTTAGATTTGCATTGTGTTAATTTGAATTGGACTGATTGGCCTGCTCTATGTGATGCAAACTCAAAGCTGAGTGATTGTCAAAAATGAAACAAATGCTCCAGCCGATGGTTTTATAAACACTGTAATTTTGTTTTCGAAACTAAGAGATGGTCAAAGTCAGCAAATTTCAAAGTCAATGCAAAGTAATACTCAAAGCATTGCACAGAATCCCCCTTCAAACCTCTCTGCGCTTCCACTCCATCCTAACTCAGCAATCTATGGTCCTATTGGTTGTTCTGTTATTAGGTTCTTGTGGGTTTTTTCAGGCTATAGGGCCATGTTCTAGAGGCATTTCTCCTGACGTTTCGCCTGCATCTATGGCAAGCATCCTCAGAGGTAGTGAGGTCTGTTGGAATTAGGACAATGGGTTTATATATCTGTGGAATGGCTGGGGTGGGGCAAAGAGCTCTTCTCTGCTGGAGCTAGGTGTGAATGCTCTGTTATTAGATAGTAAGCTAACATTTTTGAAAAACTTTTTTGATTCAAAAATCTAATTTGAATTACCCGCTTACCTGACAACGTGTTCCATTAAACACATTGAGTTTGACTTCTAAAATGACATGCAATAAGTTATCTTGCACTGAAATCTTTGGTTGGTTTTCTGGATTTCTAAATTTATTTTAATCGCATCTAAGAGAACACTGTACAGATGCTATTTTTCTTTTATTTAACCACCTAGTTAATGAAAGGTATTGTAAAGAGATGCATTTCCCAATGTACTTAATTTGGAAGAGTGTTCAAAACAAGAAAGCCAAGTTAAAATCCACCTAATTCTGGGTGGGCTGTGCTCCAAACATCCAACTGGCACAAACATTTATTGTACACCAGTAATTTAAATGTAGCCTCATTATATTTAGCATTGTATTTAGACTTTAAAATTATATCATTTTTGCTAAGAAAAAATGACTTTTTCCCCCCTCCCTTCTATTCCTAACAGCACGGAATGGGTGTTCCCTCCATTTCCATCATGCTCCATGAACTAATCAAATTGCTACACCATGCAAAATGCTGTGATGTTACCATTATACGCATCGGTACTTCAGGGGGATTAGGTGAGCAAAGAGTTTTGCGGCAGTCGGGCAGCGGGGATGCAAATGAAATACATCGCAGGAAAAGGTCATGCCTTTATGAGATTTTCATAACATTTTAAAAGAATTTCAAGTCAACAAATATCAGCCTGCCAAGGCATATAAAGACTACAAATAGGTATTTTTCTAATGTAGCAAACCAACACTTGTTCTTTGCAGATGCACAAAGGGGGGGGGGGGTTGTTGGATTATATTTTCACCATACTCTTCTGAATGCTGATGCATAAGAATAAAAACACTAAAAAATAAAGATCTGAATTCAGTACTGGAGTTAAGGAATCACAGCTTATTAATATTCATGAATACTACTTTTCCAGGCAGCAGTCAGATTGGAAAAAGGAGATCCATTCAGTTAGTGCAGGCTTGGGAAAACTTTCTAACTTGGGGGCTTCATGGCAGGCTGGAGTGGGGTCTGTGGGCCAGGAGGGAGGGGGTTCTCCCCAAGCCCCCTACCTGCCCTGCCCTTTCCCTCCCTCTCTCTTCTCTTTCGGAGGGAGAAAGTGAAGGGAAGACAGGAAACATTTGGATCCCAAAAGAGTTGGCCTCAGTCAGGATGAGATGGTGGATGGGAGAGAAAAAGTATATCTATTAGACCCTGTATTGCCTACTCTTGATATAGAATCCTAGGGCTGGAAGAGACCCCCAAGGGCCAGTCACTCCAACCCCCTACCATGCACTCCTGATAGACAGCTGTAAAGATTATGGATTGGGAGGATTGTTAATTTTAATTAAAAGCCGACTCAAATAATATTCTGGCAGGAGAACCTTTCCTTTGGTGTTCTCACCGCTGTATACCCAAAAATGTTCTCTCTGGGGAGTTTTAGGTCTTCCAGGATGACTCCATGATCAACTTCCATTAGAAGCTTATCATTGAGTCAAGCTGGAGAACTTACCATACTAGATTGCTAGAGAGATGTCCTCAAAGCGAGGGAAAAAATAGTTTTTTCCATAGTTTTTCCACTTTTGCAGGGATCCCACACCCCCTAACCCTCATGAAAGTAGAGTTCTTACTATACTGTGTTGTGAAATAACGCTTTGAATAATGTACACAAATATATTTCTTCTGAATTAAGAAGATAATACATATAATTACTTTAATACATAGTTTCCAAGGAATATCATAATAGTAGTGGCAGTATCCTATCATAAATTAAAAGGATTTCCAGTCCATGGTTGTCTTCTACTACACACACTCAGTAAAGAACAATGCAAGATACCCGTTCCACTCCTCTTGAGGTGGTTGAAGGAAGTTAGTCCCTACAAATAAGAAATATCTAGGTACTTGTCTAGCCACATCTGCTTAAATTTTACATCAAGGGTTGCCAGGCCAGAATCATCTCAAGCCCTAAGATTTCATAATCAGAACCTGAGCACTACTGATGTATCTGGTGATGTCACAAGGAAGGGTGTGGTGATGCCATAACTTCTTATTCAAATACTCATAGAGAGAGAAAGAACATTTTCCTGGGTGGAAGTTAAATGTCTTGTACATTGCAATATTTATTTGAATCACTTAACCTTTGCAAAGCACAGCAACCTGCCCAGCCAGTTAGATGGCTCCCTCTAATTGGAGGGTTGCATGGAACATTGCCTCTCATCCAGAGATCTGGCAAACCTTATTTATTTTACATGATTGGTCCAAATAGTGCCAAAGTAGGCCATGCATGTAGGTTAACAATAATGTGGTGGACTGCAGGGTCAATCCTTGCATTCTTACACTATCTCCCCCACCATGTGTGTGGACTGTAATGTCAAGATAGTCTGACACATACGTGTGTATCTCATTTCATTCACTACATATAAAACATGGTTCTATAGTACAGATTGATGAAGATTTCATCATGCGATACTTGTTGCCTGTCTTCCTTTAGAGATAACATACTTGTCCAGTTTGCTTATCAATTGATCTTCAAATTAGCAATGGCAGATAAAGACAGTTGTGTTAATTTGCATCAGTAGGGAAAGAGATCTGGTTAGATGCATTGGATGATTGCAAACTGAGTCCATGAAAGCTTTCTCTCAATCTCAAAGGTGCTATAAAATCTCTTTGTTGCACAATGACAGATCCTGAAGACTTCACTGCAGTAATCAAAATTGAAAACAAGTTTCAAGTATAGGGAAATTCAATCATATACATAGTGGCTTCCACGTGACACATAACCTTGAATCAGTTCCGCATTTGTGTAAACTCAACTTTCCAAATGTCTTAACATTTTTCTGTTTTTAGGAATTGAACCTGGCTCTGTTGTAATAACAGATATCGCAGTGGATTCCTTTTTTAAGCCTCAGTTTGAACAGGTGATACTGGACAATGTGGTAGTACGGAACACCGAACTTGACCAAGACCTTGCGAATGAATTACTAAAATGTAGCAGAGAGACTGAAGATTTTCCAACACTTATCGGTCATACAATGTGCACCGATGATTTTTATGAGGGTGAGTGGGGAATATACATAACCATTTTTTTAAATCATAAAGATAAGAATGGCTATAAAATAATGATGTAAAACGATCCATGCTGCAGGATAAGACTGCAGCCCTAAGTGGTCCAGCATTCAATTCATACAATGGCCGACAATTGCCTTTCAGAAGCTCACAAGCAGGAAAATGGTATAATAGCATTCTCCCTCCTATGTTTCTGCAATTATTGATGCCGAGTGATGTTGGGTACAGAAAAAATATGAAGTTGTTATGACTAGTAGCCACTGATATCACTATCTTCCACGAATTTGTACAATTCCCTTTAAAGTCATCCAAGTTGGCATCCCTCACTTTAACTGAAGGCATTACAAAATCATGACATGACACAGCCAGATTTTTGTTGGTGCTGCTCAGGATATTTATTGTCATTTTTCTTCTTGTTCCTTCAGCTGATTTGAAAGCCTTTCAAAACAACACATGAATGCATGTGCAGGCATGCCATGTACACATACACAAATCTCTATGTATAAAGTTGCTATGATATACCTCTATCTAAGTACTACTAAGTTCAATGGGGCACGCTTCCAAGTAGTCATTAACTGGCTATATGCTTCATTGAGTATGGATGGATTTCTGAGTAAACATACTAAGAACATTTCATTTCCTTATCCACATTTCTTCACAGGATCAGCTAGAATTATTTTCCTCAATTTCTAATGATTATAGAAACGTTTCCCTTTTTTCCCTATCTGTCCCACATTTGCCAAACACGAACACCAGTATATGCCAAGAAGTTCTGTTTTTGGTTCCCCCCCCCCCCCGTTTTGTTTATGGGAAGAGTATTCCTGAAATAGAAATGGAATTCAGGGTTCCAAATTACATATCCAAACAACCCCCCCCCCCAATATTCTGGAATCTTCTCAAAAACAGAACGAGGGGCACCCAAAATTCAAAACAAAAACAGAACGAATTTACACACCCCTACCAAGAAGGTGTTGTAATTGGTTTACAGCAATGCATTCTACATGGGGTTGCTTTTGGAGATGTTTTGGAAGCATGTTAGTTATGATATTTATTTATTATATTTATATACTGTCCCTCTCAGCCCGCAGGTGACTCGGGGCGGATTACAGTCGGTACCATGACCATAAAATACAATTACAAACATTAAAATAATATAAAACCATAGCAAAGTCAATAAAAAACATATATCGTTAGTGTCACCTTGTTAAAAACATTGACCAATCACATTGTCCAGTCATTCCATTTTCCTATGTCTGTTACACTGTATTTGCAAATGCTTGCTCAAAAAGCCAAGTCTTGATTTTTTTTCCAGAATATTAAAAGGGAGGGAGCTGATCTGATAACCCTAGGGAGGGTGTTCCATAGCCGAGGGGCCACGACTGAGAAGACCCTGTCTCTTGTCCCTGCCAGCCATGCTTGTGACGAGGGCGGGATCGAGAGCAGGGCCTCCCCAGACAATCTTAAAATCCTGGACCCTGATACACAGGGACCAGGATTTTAAAGCAATTTGTTTTTGTCACATTTTAAGGCAGCATTGCAGAAGTTTCCTAGCTGCTTGTACACTTCTTAATACTGCTGTTTACTTTAAGAATTATAAATGACTTGATGCCCAAATAATCAAAGGAGCTCTGAAGGCCCATTCCAGGCTAACTTACCTACATCCTTAAATGTCATCAGCTGACAGGAATGCCCAATCTCTCCCACCAACTGAGGTGAGAGGAGAAACATGAGTACTACTCTCCATAGCTGCCTTCTTTGTTACTCTGAGCAAGACAGAAGGCAGATGGGCTCTGCTCTCTTGACATTCAACTGAAGTTAAATGCCAGACTTTGAGAGATCTTTGCTCATAACCAGGTCTTGCGGGCAGGAACACCTGGAAATCACCTCTGCACTTCTGAGACAGGTGGCTTACTGTCTATGCTTGTTCTTGCTGTTTAATGAGTATTACTTACTGATAAGGCTAATCCTATCAAATAAGACCCTTCTTAGTGCACAGTACTTCCCCATGGGAGGAGTGAAATCCAAAGATGAGCAGACCTTCTCACCCTTGGCACAGTATTTACAGAATACCTTCTCCAAACATATTCCTTTAAGAATTGATAATAAAAACCCGTAAAAGTTTATTCAACATTTCAAATTCTTCAACCTCACAACCTCTGAGGATGCCTGCCACAGATGCAGGCGAAACGTCAGGAGAGAATGCTTCTAGAACATGGCCATACAACCCGAAAAACCTACAACAACCCAGTGATTTCGGCCATGAAAGCCTTCAACAATACACTTTTCTACTTGTTTTCCTTGAAACAAATATCACCACAAATCCTTTACTTTATCAGTGAACAGCCAGCCCTCCAAATTTCCCAGTCAGGGGCATAGGACCCCCATGAAAGTGAAAAACCATAAAGAAACTGTTTTTTTTTAATCCTGGGAGAACACCTCTTTAGGAGCCCTTCCACACAGCCCTATATCCCAGAATATCAAGACAGAAAATCCCACGATATCAGTGTAGGCTCAGATAACCCAGTTCAAAGCAGATATTGTGGGATTTTCTGCCTTGATATTCTGGGTTATATGACTGCCTAGAGATCCCTAGGCAGAACATTTTAATCAAATCCTTGAATAATCAAAAGTCAAAACCACAAACGTGGAGGAACAATGGAATTTTCTTGCACTGTCGTTGTAAACCGGCCTGGAATTGAGAAATGATGCCTTGTGTCTGTCTGTGTTTGAAAAAAACAAAACAAAGCATAAAAATCTGATTTCCCATTTCCTTCATTATGACACAGAAAAATAAGAAACTCTCAAGAGCAGTTCCTTATCTTCCTCTTCCTCAAAAGCCAGGAGCTATTCATTGACATTTTGTCAGAAACAAGCATATTATATTAAACACTTAAAGTAAAATACTCCCCTGTCAATAATCATACCATCATGTTAACAGCTGGATTACACTTCAGTTACTTCCAGTGATAGGATTATAGCCTTGAAAATTACCTCACTGAAGAAAAATGTCAAGAAGTATGGCATTTATGTAAATAACCATTAGCACCTCTCTAGTACCCTGGAATCTTTTCTTTGGAGGCAATTAAATGCTGTTTGCAAAGCGGATGGGACTGAATAAATAGAGAATTAATAATCTGAAGACTATTTATAAACCTTTGGATCAGTTTGCAAGCATGGCCATCTGTGGTTTTTGCTCGAGGCCACGTTTTATCAAAGCCATTCCAGAGGATTAATGTACCTAAATTAAAAATACAATGAAACAGTTTGCTCAGGTTAGGAGATCTGCAGGTATTTGGCCATATTCAAAAATGCAAGTTGAAAACCAAAAGCAATGCTTCTTAATATCCTCAGTAACAGCTCAACCCTCTGTCTCTCCTCAGAAGTTATCCCCACTGGGTTTACTCCCAGGTAAGTGGGCACAGGAATGCAGCGAAATTCCAGCTATTGGCTAAAACACTAATTAAAGTGATTACTTGCAAGATCCTTTAATTCCACAAGGAAGTTTGAGTTTGTGACCTTAATTAGAAATGATTTCCCAGAGAGCTTAATTCATGCGGAGTAATACTTATTCACATATACATGTGCACATTTTACTTTTTTTCTAGTTTGAATGTCATAATTGTCCTTCAAATCCAGATATGCCTCCATTTCTTGGCTCCCTTGCCTTGGGGCTAAGTTTTTTCTTGGTACAGAATGATGGAGGCAAGTTGGACAATGGTATATATCTGAACATTTTCTGACGTTCTATATTTGAAAAGTTTGGATGCATCTGCACTGTAGGATTAATGCCATTTGACACCACTTTAAATGGCATGGCTCTATGTTACAGAATCTTGGGATTTGTATTTTCATGAGATACTAGCACTCTTCGGTAGAGAAGGCTAAAAGCTTTAACTTCCATAAATCCATAGCATTAAGCCATGGCAGCCAAAGTAATACCAACAGCATTAATTCTACAGTGTTGCATGACCCTAAATTGTGTCTCTTTGTTAAGAAAAACTTAAAGCCACAATAACCCGTCTTCCAGCGTTGTGGTTGTGTGCCTTCAATTAATTTCCAACTTTGGGCAAATCTAAGGTGAAACTAACACAGGGTCTTATGGGCGAGAGAGTGTTTGACTTGCCCAAAGTCACCCAATGGGTTTGCATAGCTAAGCAGAGAATTGAACCTTGCTTTCCAGAGTACAACACTAAATCATTGTGCTATGGTGGGATGTACTCATTTGCACACAGTATGAGACCAATCGTTTGACAATGCACCAACCATATCTTTGAGTCCCTGGTTGCCACTACAACAACTTTAAATGCAAGCCAATGATTAGCACACCACCTTTATGCAGGAAGAGCATTTATTTTTTTATTTAGAACATTTATACCCTGTCCTTCTCGACCGCTGAGGAAGGACTCAGGACATCTTCCAAATAGGCAACAATTCAATGCCAACACAATATCAGACACATAAAGGTTAAAATCATCATCCAAATCAGTCCAAATGCAGTCCAATAAAATCTTATCTTCATCAGTCAAAACAGTCTATTCTGCGAACGCTTGATCCCATAACCAGGATTTAAGTTTCTTCTGGAAGGTCAGGAGGAAGGAGGCAGATCTACCCTCATTAGGGAGGAAGTTCCACAGCCAAGGGGCCACCACAGAGAAGGCCCTGTCTCTCGTCCCCACCAAACGTGACTGCAATGGCAATGGGACCAAGATCAAGGCCTCCCCAGATGATCTTAAGGTCCTTGATGATTCGTAGAGGGACGTTCAGACATGTAAACTGGGCTGGAACTATTTAGGGCTTTATAGGTTACAACCTGCCGCTGAATGCCTCTCCTCTAGAGTAGGAAGAGTATAGATTTTGACTGCAGTAGCAAGGCACTTATGTTCTTTGACCCACTAGCGCTCTCCTCCATAGCTGAAAAAAATCACAGCAGGGGCCCTGCCTACACCATTGTGTCTTCTATCATATTAGTGCTTTTATTCCATTATTGGCTTGTACTGCTTTCCTGTGCATAGAGTAATAAAGAGCACATTATCCTTAATTTATTGATTCTTCTCCGTAATAATATAGCTTTTTGTTGGATTGCACATTTTTATGTGTCTCTTTGTAGTTCACTTGGTGCCGTTTTGTTGTAATGTTAATAAATACATGGAAGATAAGATATTAATATTTCAAAGAGCATGCTATTAAAATGAAATAAAAAACCAACGAGTTCTTAATTTCAGCAGGACGTTGGGATATTAACCATGAGTTCTCTGAAGAAAACTTGCTTTGATTGTAGAAGTCAGCCCTGCCAGTACTAGTTTTGAGCACAGAACACATGAAAGTACAAAATACTGATGCTTCCTTTTTCTCTCCCCAATTTTTTCCTCCTAAGGTCAGGGACGACTAGATGGAGCGTTGTGCTCATTCTCAAATGAGAAAAAGCTAGAGTACTTAAAAAGAGCATACGATGCTGGAGTTAGGAACATAGAAATGGAGTCTACTGTATTTGCAGCCATGTGCAGGCTTTGTGGCCTTAAAGGTAAGGCAGAGGGCACATCTATTCTCTTTCCTTAATGGTTCCTCAACACCAACCACCTCTAATCTCTCTTCAGCACAAAATATTTAATCGCTATATGATTTTCACAGGGACACCAAATTTACTTCTGCTCAGCATTCATAGTAATGTGTTATTGTTTATTTATTATGATTTTTAAATGTATGTTGGCATTGAATTTTTGCCATAAGTATGTTGTAAACTGCCTTGAGTCCCCCCAGGGGTGAGAAAGGTGATATATAAATACAGTTAAGTAAGTAAATAAGTAGCTGTCCATATTTTTCAGGTGCAATGGATGATGTCCAATAACATAGAAAACATATGTTCTGACTATAGCTTTTTGTACTGAAAAGGAAGATTCATGATTAATTGTTATTTTCCACCATATATACATATATAGTATGAGCCCTGTTTCCACTTTTCATACTCAGCATTTTTCTTCCCTGAAGTATGGTATGTACAGTGGAGATTTCAGGAGTTTGGGGCATTATCCAGAGCATATATTGTAAGGCTTCCATATGACTGGATTTGCCAGATTAAATCCATATTATAGGCACTCCACCTACTTATCCATTAGGGCTATTAGCTAGCCTGGACTTCATGTTTCTGTAAAGGTAAAGACTAGAGTTGTGCGTGGATCCATTTTCCTTCATTATAGCCGTTCTTTTATTACTTTAGTTACCTTTGAAAGCATGTAATAGGAAGCCCCCTCCCGGTATGAAAATCAGTTTGACATAAAAGCAAGTTAGAGCCGATCCCGGCTCCTTGCCTGCTTTTCGTGAGCAGCCTCCTTGCCTTAGAAAGAGTGTGTGTGTGGCATGCAGGCCCAGAAAGTGCATACATGTACCTGCAACAGTGTCTCCTCTACTGTAAGAAACAGAACTTGCCTCCTTCCCTTAGAAAGTTGATGTGTGCGTGGTGTGCAGGCCCAGAAAGAGCGTGTACCTACCTGCAGCTGAGCGCCTCCTCTAGAGTAAGAAACAACATTCTTCCTTCCCTTGGAAAGTGTGTGTGTGTGATGGGCAGGCCCAGAAAGCTCACATACCTGCCTGCAGCTGAGTGCCTCTCCTCTAGAGTAAAGAAACAGATAAGAAGCCTTCTTAAAGCATGTGCCTGCCTACAGATGAGTGCCTCTCCTCTAGAATAGAAACATCTTAAATGCCTATGATGGGAAGGGGAGCCTAGAAAGACCTCCCCCCCCCATAATGGGCCGATAGAAAACGGATCTTATAGCACCCCAGATCAAATACAGCTATCTGCCCTCCCGATTTCAAGAAGCTCCCAAAAATGGATTGGGGCCTCACCGAAAGCCAGGATAAGAAACGGGTCAAGGTTTACCCAGATTGCACAAGCCTTGTAAGGACAATTTAGCCGGAATTCTGGATTATGCCCTACCTACAAAGGCAAAGGAGAAATTGAAAGATTCTGTAATGGGGTCCAGGGAGGAATTGCTAAAACATTAAAATAGGATGTGTTGGTAATAAAAAGCAATTGGTCTGCAAATGTAGGAAATGAAGCAGAAGTAAGAATTGCTGGAGAATTTGGTGACGATCAAGAAAAGGAGGCAGGAGATCAATCTATTGAATTTTGTGAGGCCAACCGTTTATTCACTAAAAACATATACTTCAGGCAACAAATGTGGACATTGGCTGATGGTCAATACAGAAATTAAATAGACTACATAATTGGAAGCAAAAGATGGAAAATTCCTATCTCTCTGCAAAAATGAGTCCAGGAGGAGATTGACAAAGAGTATGTATTACTAATACCAAAATGCTGGTGGCCATGAAAAGAGATTAAAAGATTGCCCAAAAGCTAACCTTAAAAACTGTGGCATAGACACCAAGAACTGGGAAGCCCTGGCCCTTGAGCCCTCTAACTGGAGGTCAGCTGTGACTAGCAGTGCTGTGGAATTTGAAGAGGCATGAATGGAAGGTGAAAGGGAGAAATGTGCCAAGAGGAAGGAGTGTCAAGCCAACCCTGACCGGGACCGCCTTCCATGAATAAAAAGAAATATAACTGCATGAATAAAAAGAAATATAACTGCATGAATAAAAAGAAATATAACTGCATGAATAAAAAGAACTATAAAAGAAAATGAAAAGAATATACTGAAGGGCTATATTTAAAAGGTGAAAGGATGACAAATTCATTCAAGGAAGAACCATTTGAAGATGAACCCATAATTTTAGAAAGTAAAGTGGACACGGCACTCCCAGGAAAAGATGACATACCCCAAAGAGTTGTTTCAAGCAACAAAAACAAAATCCACTCAACCTCTAACTAAATACTGCCAAACAATGTGGAAAACAAAGTCTCCTCCTCATTTCCCCCTTTGCCCTCAGTTTATTATAATTGAGGTCCCTTCTACACTGCCATATAAAATCTGGATTATCTGCTTTGAACTGAGTTATATGGCTGTGTAAACTCATAAAATCTAGTTCAAAACAGATAATCTGAATTTTATACTTGGTTAACTCGAGAGAGGGGAGAAGAGAGCCAGGTTAAAATCTTGCCCTTCACAGCAGGGCCAGGCAAAAGCAGACTCCTGCACCCTCTCCTGGCTGATGTGTTCTTCCTCCTTAATCACGTTTGCCATCTTGATCAGTGTGATGTGCCCTGTTTTTCATCTGTTAAATAGTGGAAGGTGTGTGTTTAGAATATTGTGTGACATAGGACTCTGATATAGAACAAAGTAATATCAGATGATGGCACTTTCCTAAGGAATCCCTCAGACGTGGATCCAGCCCTGCTCTTCTTGAGACTGAAATGTGCATAATCTTTCACGTAGAAGGAACATTTTGTACAGTGAGTCATGCAATCTGACAAGCTCCCATCTCCATCTTAAGATGGTACAATCCAGTCTCTGTTGAAGTTTTTTTAGCCACACAAAAGAACTAAGCCACTATCTGCTCTTATGTCTACAGCTAGATCCTGAATAATAAGCACACGAGGTACAAAACCTGAACGGATCCAAAATCCTTATTCCTTTTTTGGAAACCATTAAAGGGTGTGCATGTGTGTGTGGCTTGTTTCATTCTTCAGAGACTGCAAAGGTCACTGAAATCCTGCTGATATGCAGGGAAGACATTCAATTTTGTTCAGGTGATTGTTAAAAAGTTGAACATATTATAAAATATACGAGGCTGAAATTATGTTTGACCAGAGATTAGAAAGTAACTTTTTAAAGTATAAAACCCAAAATGCTTGTCTACTCTTAACTGGGTAAACAAGAATCCTTGTCTACCCTTAACTCACCCAGAGGACCTTTTCGTCGGCTGCCCCAAGACTGTGTAACAACCTGACGGAAGAGCTCCTACAGCTAAATGAGTGGTCGGAATTTAAGACACAACTTAAGACCTATCTCTTCCAGCAAGCCTACCCAATCAGTTTTAATCGTGAATTTTAAAGATGTGTCTTGTGTCTACTGTACTTTAATCATTGCTCTGTGTATTTTAATATATGTATTTTGTAGAAATACATTTTAATATGCGTATTTTAGATAATGACTAGCCATCGGCAGCCATGCGTTGCTGCGGCCCAATCTGTCCATATGTGCTTTGTGTTTATACGTGTGTGTATATATTTGTGTATATGTGTATATATGTGTGTTTGCGTGTGTGTGTGTGTGTGTGTGGTTTTGCGCATGCGTTGTAATGCATTTTTATTTTTTGGCTTTTTAGGTCTCTTCCGCTGTGTTTTTCAGTGTTTTTATGAGTGATGGTCACTTGTTGGCCTGATACGTGTATTGTGTCCAAATTTGGAGTCAATTCATCCAGTGGTTTTTGAGTTATATTAATCCCACAAACGATCATTACATTTTATTTATATAGATTATGTCTTTTTTGCAATGTTGTAACCCACCTTGAACCACTAGGAGAGATGGTTTATTTATTTATTTATTTATTTTGGATATTTGTATCCCATCCTACCTCTACTGGGAGATTCTGGTAGTTGTGGTCCAAAAGGAAAAAATCCAACTTGTACACCTGACCTATGAATAATTATTGGGAGAATTTCAAGGTTAATTCCATGTGCTTTGGCCATGAATGCCTGGCTCTTCTTCAAAACATTCTCAAGGAACAAACCCCTTGAGATATTTAACATTGGGGTTTGTCCAGGTATTTCTTTCTAAGCCACCAAGGATAGTGGTCTCAGATGGTGTCTCCCCGTTTATTTGGTTTGAGTGTTTTGTTGTGTTGCTAATTTCTGTCCTGGAGAGGAAGACATGGAGACGATGGCCCTTCCAAACAACTGAATAAAATCCCCCATTATCTGCTGTGAACTGAAATATATGACAGTGTGGACGCAGATATCCCAGATATTGTGGGATTTTCTGCCTTGATATACTGTGTTATATGGCTGTGTGGAAGGGCCTGATGACTACAATTTTTGTATGCAATACTATTCCCTCTTCACTGTGCGTTCTCTAAATATACTAGTTTTGTCCACATTGGGGGAAAATTTTGACCAGGGTAATAGCATGAATGGATTGTTTAGATCCCACTTTCAACTACTGCCATATAGTTGGTACTGTGTCCACAGATTTCACCATCCATGGCTTTAAAAAAATCTAAAAAGCAATATTGATTTTGCCATTTTATGTAAGGGACATCCTTTTGTTGTGATTGTAAATAATCAGCGTGAGCATCCATGAATTTTGGTATCTACAGGAGTCCTGGAACCAATTCCCAGTGGATATTAATGGTTTGCTGTGTTTCTGGTTTTTTTTTTGTTTGTTTGTTTGTTGGGTTTTTTTTTAAAGGGAAAAAATACTGATAAGAAGTGTAAAACCCTTGTTATGGCTTTCCACAAAAGCAAGTTGACTAAAGAATCGTGTTATAGGTTCTAGAGCAGTGGTTCTTAACCTGTGGGCCATGGACCACCAGTGGGCCGCAAGGATGAAAGTCTGGTCCATGAACCTCCTTCCTCTTTATTTATGTTATATTATTTATTTTATTTCCGCTCCTTTTGCGCTGTCTGCCACTCCTTCCCTGTCGTTGACCATGGCGTATGTTCTGTATCAGAAACTAGAGCTGATGTGGTCTATCCAATGCAATTTTCTGAACCAGCACCCCAAACCGAATCTAAAGTTGACCAAAAACTGATTCGTAACCTTTTTGGTAGTAATGTTGGAGAGTGGTCTCTGATCAATGTGGTCCCTGGTCAAGTAGTCCCTTGTAAAAAAAAAGTTTGGGAACCACTGTTTTAGAGAGAACTTTTTTGGTATGGCAGAAGCAAGTAGGACAGTGGATGTGGCAGTAAAATATAGGAACTTGTGAAAAATTAAATAGTTAACCTGAAAATATGGAGGAATAATTTTAAGTGGCTGGGTTGTACCAACCTATACTGAAGATAGGAGCTCACATAGTGTAATGCTGCCCCACTTTTAAAAAATGTTTTCAGCACAATACTTTTTTAATTTAAAAAAATCTAGTAGCTGAGAAAGTAATATAATCTGCAAACTAATATAAGGAACATTTTTCAAAACTAGACTGAATAAAAAACAAGTAGCATTGACATTTATTTTAGTTCCTTAATTTTATAAACTGCTTCAAGATTTTTAAGCAGTCTACACATTGATTAAAACAAATTGAACATACAATTTTCAGTGGTAGCTTAGCTATCTTTTGTCTCCTGAAATAAACAAGCTTCAGCCTAATTTATGTCAATGTTTAAGCGGGGTTGCAGTCTTTCATTATTTATTGATTGAAATTAATTGATTAAAAAGCTTTTGAATTCTTAAAATGAGAGGCCAGTTTATCGGGACGTAATATATATTTGAGATTTTTCTTAACACAGGCACTGCGAAATTGCAGAGGAGAAGTCCATTGTAGATGGGGAATTGACCTTTCTCTTCCTAAAGAAATGCTGCTTCAAACATTATGCCGTGACCTCAGTTTTCTCTAAAAACAAATAATTGCTCTCCTTTCTCTATATCCCGCTGCCTTTGCTATAATAACCAAAATTATATGAATTTGCTAGATAAATTGATCACCACAAACGGATACAAAGATGTTGATTAGTTTAAAGAGTTTTTCTTTTTAGCTGTTATGACAAGAGCATAAAGAAGTGACTTTGTCAGGCTTTGGCAACTTTGGGAGGTTACATAACCACACTTTTCCCCTAGGAGACCTTGGAAGACCCCATGGCTTTCCATCACAAAAACATCTGTTTTTGCCTTCACATGACCTCTGGGGTGGGGCATTTTGCTATGTTTTTGGCTCTCTGGGACATTTCAGGCCTAGAAGAAACCTTTCTTTTTTAAGCAATTGAAAGCTACTTCTGGTTTACATCCTGGGTCTAATATGGCCCATGTGGAACAAAAAACATGGCTAAATTCCTCCACATCTCCTAAAGTGCATTTCTGATTAAACTCTGAGGGCCCTGGGGACCACAAAAAGAACCGCTTTGTTCACCGGTGCTCAGTCCTAATGCGGGAAAGTGCTATCACACTAGTTAAATTAAGAGTTCCAGCCTACCGTATCGTAAAAAAATATTATTCACAACTTCTTGTAAGAATTAATTGAACGGAATAAAATAGGTATATCTCCAAGGTTAAAAATTTGTTATCATTCATATAAAAACAAGCTTGAACACATGTCTGCATGCTTGTCTCATTTCTAGCTGCAGTGGTCTGCGTGACTCTCCTGGATCGACTTGAAGGGGACCAAATCACAGCATCTCATGAAGTTCTAGTTGAATATCAACGACGACCTCAACAACTAATTTCAATGTTCATCAAGAAGCACCTCGGACTATGGAATCAAACAGAACCATTAGATAAAGAATTAGTCTAAACATATATAAAATATATATGTCTGCCATGATGCTGTAATATGACACCACATTAATGTTTAGACATTGAGATTTGCTCAGAGAGTAACTTGTACAGTATAAATATGTGTGTTTGTGTGTGTTTCTCTAGGACATCTGTGGACTTAAGGTGCCCCCATGTATTTTATAGGATTTTCTTAGGAAAAATATTCAGAAATGTTTTGCACTTGCTTTCCTCTGAAATGTAGCCCAACACACTTGGTATTCTCCTTTGAATATTCATTAGTGAACCAAGTGGCAGTGTTTGTTTCCTTCTTTCTTTTATACTTTTAAACTCATGGGCAATTTACAACAGCTTAATAAACATCTTCATTATGTACCATTTTAACTGCAACAACATGGTGAGTTTGGTGTATCACTGTAAGGAGATGCTTCTGTGTTATTAGCCATATAAACTCAATGAAGGAAATGTATGAAGGCATCAACTAGGTGGAAAAGAAGAGAGGAAAACCCCAAGTGGTCAAGAAGTAAGTTATTTACAGTGTTCCCTCACTACTTTGCGGCTTGCTTTTAGCGGACTCACTGTTTTGCAGGTTTTTGAAAATATTAATAAAAAATAAAAAATATTAAATATTTACATCCAGTGGAGACCAGGGTCCCTGGAAGTCTGGCGGCCTGAAGCACGGTGGGGAGGGCTTGCCTTCCTGGCCTCCATAGACCCTGGAAGTGCAGTGACCTAACACATGGCGGGGAAGCTCTGCCTCCCTGGCTGCCTGCTGCTTGCGTGACTCCGGAAGCTCTGTGGAGGCCAGGGAGGCAGGCAGGTGCCTTTGGGATGGGCTGGGAGATGGGTAAGGAAGCCCAGGTAAGAAAATAATATATAAAATATATAAAATAATGTATAAATATTAAATTAATATGGTGTTCCTACTTCGCAGATTTTCACTTATCGCGGGTTGTCCTGGAACGGAACCCCTGCCATAAGTGAAGGAACATTGTATTTAAAATCCAACATGGGTTTGTTTCAAGTTGTTCTTTCTTGGCAGATCCACCACAAGCATCAGGTGGACTGAAGGAGCTACCTCAAGCAACAGTAAGAAAGGATTCATTATTTAAGTTGCTATTATTGTATTTTTACTACCAGGCATTGGGGAAGATGCTTCTGAAGTTTTCTCTCTCATGCACCAAATGACCTGGTTGGCTTTAAGTATGAAAACTTAGGTAGGTCAAGGACACTGCTGCTTTGCCTCAGGTAGCAAGTTGTCTTTCCTGGCACTGTTCCCTGAGTAACAATTTTCAAGCTTACCTATATAGACTCTTTCCAATGCCCTTTACTTCAAAAGCAAGTTGCAACTGCACAGAGATACCATATTGAAAATGGTTGTTTCAAATACCCCTGAGAAAGAGCAACTGTTTAAAGCACATTAAGTGTTAAATTATTTTCTCCTACAAATCTGAAGATTTCTTCCTTTCTTTTTCAACATAAAATGCACACTTATATTTCCACACCACATCTTATCCTTTGATGTATGCAATGTGAAATCCTGGGTTTATCAAGAATGTTGCTACGTTCTGAAGGGATTCATTTATCTTACGGTGTCACAAACAAAATGTAGATAAATTAATGCTGATTTGATTGTGAGATGCCAGACAAAATTGACTATTGGTTCTCGTGATGTACAGATTGAGAAGAAAAAAAATACTGTATATCCCTATGACTCTCTAGGATGCTCCTTCTGTTGCTTGAGTCAGAGTACCTGTGTTGAGTGCACTTACTATTTCCACATCGTTATCCTGCATTTCTCATAGAAAGATGCATATCAAATAAAAGAGCACAGTGGGATATAAAACAGGTCGTCTTTTCCTGCAAGTCAGTCCACAATAAAATAGTCTTGTATAATGAAATCATAACATAGGAAGGATGGAAATACTCAAAGAAAAATACAAGAAAGCAACACATCTGAATTTTTCCAATAATTGACAGCACTTTAGTCTAGAAAGGAAATATAGGCAAATACAGACAAGTGACAAATGTGTGTTACAATGCAAGTCTAGATCTCCACTTACCGTAATTATGTGTTTGTTCTTGATGGAGACTTTGGGACTCATCATGAGGTTGTGCAGAGTGCCAGGATTGCCCACCGATTCACCATGAAGGCTAGCGAATCTCAATGCTGAGGCTCATCAACGTGATGAGGCCCCTTGTCTGTATCAGCAGTGACCTTGGAAAGTAAACATAGTATATGCATCTACTCAAATATTAATTCCACGAAGGGCTTGTTATTGTGCATTTCAAAAGGTTTCTGATTTAAGGTAATCTTATTATGGGTTTTTCTGGAAATTGTGGTGCGACTTATTCAAGGTCACTTAGTGGGTCTCCATGGCTGAGCAGGGAGTTGTTCAATGCTCAGACCACTACACTCTGCTTTCCCCCAGGTAAATGCTTATCATGGAGGCTGTTTACAATAGTGAGCCAAAGTAATGTTTGTACCTCAAGGATTACTTCACAGTTGACTCAGAAGTAAGTCTGTTATTCTGGCATATTATTGTTTGTTCAACGCACCTGTGAAGAAGTTCTCAAATGTTATTTTAGAGCACAGTGGGTAACATTTCCTTTTAGGCATCTGTCAGGGATTGATCAAGCAGTTTCAAAATATTTAGACAGAAGATGTCATTGTATGGCAACTCTATAGCCTCACAGAAAATGTTCTGAGTTGATTATGCTGTGATCCTAGCTGAATATGAAACACTATGACGCTGGTTCTGTACCAAAATGATTCAGTAAATGCCAGGTGATGAGCCCCATCATGACAGAGGGACTCCCCCCCCCCCAAAAAAAAAGAGAGAGAGTTTACGGGTTTAGAAATGAAGTTAAAAATGACTACTGACAGGCAATATACATATTTACCAAACACTGATATGGGAATAACAGTATTTTTTGAGTGAAAAAATATGCATTTAGAGTGGACCAAGAGTCACAAAGTCATGTGATATATACCATATATGATGCTATGGTATTGAATTTACATTATGTGTGAAAAATCAATTTTGTGTGAATTTTTGCCGGATTTGTCAGCCACCTTGAGTCCCCTCTCGGATCGAGAAAGGCAAGGTAGAAATGAATACATAAATAATGCATATTAGATGCCATTGTCATGACTTGATTTTTCATACATAATGTAAATTTATTACCTGGATATATACTATATATGGTGCCATGGTATTGTAAATTAAAAACAAAAAATAAAGGGTTGTTGTGTGTTTTCCAGGTTGTATGGCCATGTTCCAGAAGCATTCTCTCCTTAAGGTTCCCCTGCATCTATGGCAGGCATCCTAACAGGTTGTGAGGATGCCTGCCATTGGTCCAGGTGAAACGTCAGGAGAGAATGCTTCTGGAACATGGCCATACAAACCTGGAAAACACACAACAACCCAGTGATTCCAGCCATAAAAGCCTTCCAAAACACAAAAATAAAGGAGTTATTAACTATTGGAACCCCTCTGTGGTTTTTGCCCTACTCTGTATCTAAATAGATCGATATAGAGAGAGAATATGAGTCTGCCCATGATATTGTCCATTCAAATGCGTTGTGCAATTGGATTTGAGAATTGCTTGGTCGTGTCATAAATGTAACTTGCATGGCTTTATATATTGCATTATGTCTGTTGTACACTTCAGCAGAACTGGTTAATACTGATTTTAAAGTAATTCCGAAAGCAAGAATGGGAAAAGGCTTTTGGTTAAAAAAAAGTACAGGGCAAGGAGCAAAGGTTTATTGTCCTAGAGCAGTGGTTCCCAACCTGTGAGTCCCCAGGTGTTTTGGTCTATAACTCCCAGAAATCCCAGCCATTTTACCAGCTGTTGGGATTTCTGAGAGTTGAAGGCCAAAACATCTGGGGACCCACAGATTGGGAACCACTGGTCTAGAGTGATCATTCATCTGAGATGCATTTATGACATGGATAAAGACTGGAAGTGGACATAAATAATGTAGCAGTTGCAAACCTACAAGTGCATAAAACCGACCTCATGATTACTTTCATACTGTCAATAGAGCCCTAGGTTCATATTCCCATTTAGCTGTGAAGGCAGGCGAATAATTTGCAAACAGTCATGATCTTTCAACCTGGCCTTACCTCATTGGGTTGTTTTGAGGATTTTAAAAGGAAAAGACAGCCTTGTACAACTTGATTGTTATAGATTTTTCAGGCTATATGGCCATGCATCTATGCATTTCACCTGCATCTATGGCAGGCATCCTCAGACCTCACAACCTCTGAGGATGCTTACTATAGATGCAGGCGAAACGTCAGAAGAGAATGCTTCTAGAACATAACAATATAGACCGAAAAATCTACAACAACCCAGTGATTCCAGCAATGAAAGCCTTCGACAATAGCCTTGTAAAACATTTTCAGTTCTTGGAGGAAAGAAGGGATGCAACAACCAGAACAATTGATACCAGTCTTGGTTTGAAGAATGGAACAAAGAGGCCTTATGAAAGGTGTGGGAACTTCTTTCACTTATTTTCTATGGACAGTTGCCTGAATTCAATCATAGAGGATAGTATCTATTAGAAAGAGTCTTCTTGATAATGGATCTTAGTAAGGCTCTTACTAATGAGTCCTCTTTCTATTGCTATCACTTATTTATATAACTCCATCACTGAAAAATTAGAAGAACAACAAACAGCTTCCTGCCCTCAGGCTTATGAACTAATTATATCATGAGACAAAAAGAAAAGGGAATGACAAAGGGGATGACGTCCAGCAGATGCTTTTCTCTTCCTCCAGGGCCAGGGCAGTGGCAGTTCGGATAGAGGGAGGACCCTGCATCTGCTGCCAGGCATTGCCCTGATGTTCTTCTTCTGTCTCTCTGAGGGCAGGGCACTAGAGATGGAAATGGAGTGAGGGCCTCTTCTGGGTGCAATTAGGCTTGGAAAAGATAATGAAATGCACCCCATGCCCTCTAGTGGACATTCATAGAATCATAGAGTTGGAAGAGACCTCATGGGCCATCCAGTCCAACCCCCTGCCAAGAAGCAGGAATATTGCATTCAAAACACCCCTGACAGATGGCCATCCAGCCTCTGTTTAAAAGCCTCCAAAGAAGAAGCCTTCACCACACTCCAGGGCAGAGAGTTCCACTGCTGAACGGCTCTCATAGTCAGAAAGTTCTTCCTAATGTTCAGGTGGAATCTCCTTTCCTGTAGTTTGAAGGCATTGTTCCACATTCTAGTCTCCAGGGCAGCAGAAAACAAGCTTGCTCCTTCCTCCCTGTGACTTCCTCTTATATATTTATACATGGTTATCATGTCTCCTCTTAGCCTTCTCTTCTGCAGGCTGAACATGCCCAGCTCTTTAAGCTGCTCCTCACAGGACTTGTTCTCCAGACCC